GTGGCTGGTGGCTTACCAGAGTCTTCACATGCTGCTTGTCCTTGCGGTGGCTGCAGTGTCTCTCCTCCTCAGCCTTCCGCTTCCCAGAATTCTCCTCCCTCCTTGTCCCACCTACTTCCTGCCTGGCCACCTACTTCCTGCCTGATTACTGGCCATCAGTGTTTTATTTATATAGAATGATATCCACAGCAAATGGGAGAAAATAAAACTGTCTTCTTTTTTTCCTGTGGCTCCTATCTGTCCAAGCTATCTGCCATTTTTCTGCAGGGTGGGGAAAGGTATGCTCAGTCGCTAGGCAACCTGTGTACAGCTAGATGCCTCTGGTGATAGTTAAAGAGAGATCTGGAACTAGAGGTAAGGTTTGGGAAAGGAGGAAGTAAGGCTTAATTGGCACATCTGTCAGGCCTTCTCAAACAGGTAGCCTGGATGCTTAAGTCTGTTCATAGAGAGTACAGGGGTATTTCTGATAAAGTACTTTCCTCCCTCTGGGGATGGACCTGGCTGGATGCTGCTAATGATAATTACAAGGAGGCTTGGACTGGAGTTCTGGCTGAGCATAGTTGTTAGTGCAGAAGGTTATCTAAATATTCCTAGAAGTGGTTAGGTAAGGAGTTAGCAGTCCATAAAGTTCGTAAGGCTGTAAGAAAGGAGGGTCCGAGCTGAATTGTGTAAAGCTATTACTAATGTCCACCTGACCTGGGTGGTGTCTCCTTGTGGAATTTACCTTACATCAGGAGACTTGCATGTGGACTGTTATTACTGCTAGTCCTTGAAAGCAGCCAAGGGAGATATCTGATTCCAGAGAAAGCCTTTCCTAAGGCAGTTCTCCAAATACCTGGAATGTGTATGTCCAGAGAGTGATCAGTCCACGCTGTTAACCCTTCTTAGGGAAAAGTCAATTGGGAAAGCTATGAAGGCACACATGATTTTCATAACAGAATACAGCTGGTATATAACAAGCCAAGTAACACCAAAAACTCCTTGGGATTTGGCTTCCTCTGGAGGAATTCCCTGATTACTCCAGGTAGTGACTTTGCCATAACTGTTGTGCCCAGATCATAACCCCCAGAGAGACCACCAAGGACAAGCGTACCAGAACGCAAAAGCAAGGTTTATCTGTTACAAGTCATGACAGGGAACTCAACTCAAGCCATCTCAAGTGAGGCAGAGAAGAGTTACTCTTTCTTGGGGAAGTTAGTTTTTATAGGCAAAACCCATAAAATTTCTTAGAAGGGAGGGGGTTAGTAAGGGTCCATCCTTGATTGGTCCAGTTTTTCCCAGGCCTGGACCTTATCTTATTCTAGCTTATCTGTTTGCCCTGTCAGGAGTTTTACAACTCCTCTCCGGGTCTGGTCATGTTATCTCTGGAGAGGGGCATCTCCTGGTTAATTGGTTACCATCAGACATCCTGACTTTGTTCTTTTGTTCCTTGGGCTGGCGCCATCATTTCTGGGGACTTGAAACTGGCCTGGGTCTATCTATATTGAGATATCTTTGTCTAAGGCCCCCTTTTTGAGACAATAGAGTGAGGGTCTTGCTGTGCTTAGATCACATCCCCAAAGCCGCCACTGGTTACTTTAGGTACAGAATGCAAAAGTAAGGTGTTTTCTAAGTTTACAAGCCTTCAGGGAGGCTCTTCCAAATCTCTCACTCACAGCAGGGAGGTTGGAAGGAGAACTCCCCTTTCTTTGTGAGGCTAGTTCTTAAATGTACAGACTATATAATTTATTTTAACCCACCTCCCTTTTTAGTCTTTTGGTCGAATATCCTGACTGTGTTTTCAAAAGTCCCTGTAGCAGATACAGACACCTGGGGAAAAGGGGTCTAAGTTCTTATCTACACTTATGAATCCTGGTTTAAGCTTCTTTTTGTCTGTAGGGGATAGAGTCGGGGGTTTTACTGAGGTATCACAATAACCAGCTGAGTTCTTATGATATTCCTGAAGCCTGCAGCAATCTACTTACTGTTTATGTAACTTGAATTCAACTCTATTTAGAAAAATAGTTGTTTTTAAAATAGCAAACATGTGGCTTGCATCCATCTTGCCCAAAGATCTCATCAGAATGGAGGCAACCATGTGGCTGGCAACTATCTTTAGTAAGGTTAGAGAGCACTGTAACTTCACCGCCATCTTGAGTAAGATGATCACATGGTATAAACTAACTAAGGCAATAATCATGAAATTTCTTAGTCCTACTGAGCCCTAAGTTTATCACTGCAGCTCCTTTTAGACTAAGGAGACAACAGCAGGTCTCAAATATTTTGGATTTTTATATGATGGAAAATTTGATAACTTCCTAACTTTATAAATGTCTGCTCAGATTAACAAAAACTGACTTAAAGGTTTATATCTAATTACTTTTTTTCTTTGCCAACTTCTAATGTCAGGCTTCTAGATAATTTCAGGTTATCAAAACATATATTTCAATAAGACATATTTCATGAATAAGGTTTATATTTCTAAAGGCATACTCAGCTTAATAGTAACTGACTTTCAGATATATGTCTCGCCTTTTTGTCTTTTCTAATTTTGTTAAGCTTTAGGTACTGGGATAAACTGAAACACAGAAGAGAAGAACAAAAACAACAACAATGAAAAAGCCCCTGATTTTCCACAATGGAATCCTATGAAAGGATCAAAAAGTAAGATTTCCAGTCTCTATGTGAACTGTATTTATGGTCATATAAAGTTCTGTGTCTCTATTCATTACTTAAAATTTGATTTTAATGCTAAAGGATCTTCAACTAAATCTTCAATGCAAATTTTAAGGCTCAAATGAAACAAAGATTAAATTGTAAAATCATAATTTTGTAGAAGGTACTAACTCTCTGTTAATAATGACAAGCTTTATCTAGCCTCCTGCTGTTTCAAAGGTTAAGCCTAAATAAAGTAATTTTGTAGCCATAGGCTTTTCTTTGTCCCACCCCATCCCAAGACTGCTTGTAAATAATCACTCATATGCTTAATATTAATTACAAACTGTTTGCCCTATTGCTCAAGCATTACTAATTAGCTCTCACAACTTAAATTAACCCATTTTTATTAATCTATATATTGCCACATGGTTGTGGCATTACTAGACTGCTGGCATCTTGTTCCTTGGGCAGCTGGATAATGTCTGCCCTGCTTCTACCCTTCTTCTCCCTGTATCTCTGCTTGGATTTCATGCCTGGCTCTTATCCTGCCTTTTCATAGGCCAAAGCAGCTTTATTCATTAACCAATGGAAGCAACATATATGCACAGCATACAAAAAGACATCCCACATCATAACTTAAATAAAATTTGTTTGGAATAAGGATCTTCAGAGATCTGCTGAATATGGTATTTAAAATATTGAAAACAAAAGCTCCCTATGATAGACAGACATTCCAGCTATTTCTTTAAATAAATGTTTTTATTTCATAATTAATTTAATTTTACATATCAGCAACAGATTCCCCTGTCCTCCCTCCTCCCATCCCCACCTCTTCTCCCCCATTCCTACCTCCTCCAAGGCAACGTCTCCTCTGGGGACTCAGCCTAGCCTCGTAGATTCAGTTGAGGGAGGTCTAGTCCCTTCCTCCCTGCACCAAGGCTGAGCAAAGTGATTCAGCATAGACCCTAGGTTTCAAAAAGCCAGCTCATGCACCAAGGACAGATGGGGTATCTCACTTATCCAGAGGGCCTGGTCCAGTTCCATGAGGGCTCCTCAGCTATTGGTTCACAGTTCATGTGTTTCCACTGGTTTGGCTATTTGTCCCTGTGCTTTTTCCAATCATGGTCTTGATATCTCTTGCTCATATAATCCCTCCTCTTTCTTGCTGGTTGGACTGCTGGAGCTCCACCTGGGGTTTGGCCATGTATCTCTGCATCTGCTTCCATCAGTCACTGGATGAGAATCCTATCATGACAGGGTGTTTGGCCATCCAATCACCAGACTAGATCAGCTCAGGCATTCTCTTGACCACTGCCAGTAGTCTATAGTGGAGGTATCTTTGTGGATTTCTGGGGACCCCTCTAATGGGGACCCCTCTAGCACTCTGCTTCTTCCTATTCCCATGGGGTCTTCATTTATCATGGTATCTCTTTCCTTGTTCTCCCACTCTGTTCTTGATCCAGCTGGGACCTCCTGCTCCCCTAAGCTCTCTTTCCCCATATCATTGTTCTCCATTACCCCCACTCAGTTTGCTCATGTAGATCTCATCTATTTCTCTGTCACTGGGTGATCCCTGTGTTTTTCTTAGGGTCCTCTTTACTAGGTACCCTCCCTGGAGTTGTGAGTTTCAGTCTGGTTATTCTTTGCTTTACATTTAGTATCCATATGAGTGAATACATACCATGTGTTCTCAACATCCTTAATCACCAGGGAAATGCAAATCAAAACAACTCTGATGTTACACCCATCAGAATGTCTAAGATCAAAAACACTGAAGACCGCTTATGCTGGAGAGGATGTGGAGCAAGGGGAACATTCCTATGCTGTTGGTGGGAATGCAAACTTGTACAGTCACTTTGGAAATCAATATGGCACTTTCTCAGAAAATTGGAATCAACTTCCCTTAAGACCCAGCTATACCACTCTTGGGCATATGCCCAACGAATGCTCAATCATACCATAAGGACACATGCTCAACTATGTGCATAGAAGCATTATTTGTAATAGTCAGAACCTAGAAACAACCTAGATGCCCTTCAGCTGAAGAATGGATAAATAAAATGTGGTACGTATACACAATGGAGTACTACTCAGCAAAGCAAAACAATGACATCATGAGGTTTGCATGGCTGGAACTAGAAAATATCATCCTGAGTGAGGTAACACAGACTCAGAAAGACATTACAGCTATTAACAGTGACACTGAAGTCTCCAAGAAAGTTAATGGGCCACAGATAACTCTAACTGTATTATAGTTTCATTAACCACTGGGGAAAAAAAAACTGCCCCGTGTCTTGCCCACTGCCAGGCCCCCAGAAAAAAAATGGGTACTTCTGTGTTGACTGCCCTAATCTGCCTGGCCAAGGAGAGTCGATTCCCCAAGTTATCCTCCACAGGAAAAATCTCTAAGAACTTCTGGGTTGGGTTAGCCAAAGACCTTCACTGTCCTGTATAGCAGCTGAATATGTAATGTTATCTTGTGTGACATCAAAGATATACCACCACTATCCCTGATGAAGTCATTAAGACCACTGGATCCTAGAGTATTTGTCCAGTTAACAATAAGTCTTTGTCATTTTAGTTGATAACAAGGCCATTTGAATTATACTTCCTGCTATAATTTATCCTTCTCATATCTCTGACAATATTTTCTGCTAACTCGCTTTATGATAAGAGCAGCAAAAAAAAATAAAATATAAAAATAAAAAAAATTAAAAAAAAAATCCTCCAGCAAGGCTGCAGCTTCCAAGTTAACTCATTTTATATATAAAATCAGGAATCACAGTTTACCTTCCTGGTAGACTCTGAAAGAGATAAACTCACAGAAGAGTTTGCAGTATAACTTTTTACAACTCTTTTATTTGAAGGTACTTGCTTTACAATGAAGGTTTTCAATAATAAATCACTTGTTCTTCATGGTAAATGATTGGAAAGAAAACAATTGAAGTTTATGAAACTTCTGTCTAAGGAAGTACTTTAAGGTATATAAATACAAGTTGTAAAGGAAGTGATTTAAGGTTTGTGAAAACTGAAAAATGTTTCAAATTTTTCCCTCTCTATGCTATTGTTAGATTAATACTTCAAAATTCAAAGTTTTAATATTAATCAGCAAAGTTCTGCTAAGTTATAAATATGATAAGCTAATCCTAATATTGTACTGACTCCTATTATAGTCCACAAGCTCAACATTTTGAATTTCCTATATTGTCTTCTAAGTATAGACTTAAATGCTTCTCATTGTCCTAAAGACATCTCTGTCCAATCTATATATCCAGTCCTCTAGACAGAGAAAAAGAGCATTAATGCTTTTAACCCAGAATAATTTTTTATGTCTCCAAGCTTTTATTATGACCCAAAGGTTTGAGTATACTGATTTTTCTTCAATGTGAATTTCAGTACAAATTAAAGACAATGGTAATGCCAAAATATGTAAAATCTTTATTTCATTTGTGAACTTTACAAAAACCCTGTAACCTTCAGGGAGTTATGAGACTTGGATACACCTGGAATATGTCAAAATGACTCAAGATACTTACTCCTCTCAACCAACAGTATAAACCTAATCCAATACTGCCCGTCTCTGATGGTGGGCTCCTGCTTTTCCTGATCTTGAACCTCCTTCCCTCCCCCACCCTCCAGAACCATGGGTCTAAATATTTCATGTGTACACAAGAAAAATTATACTCTAGGCAACTTAACTATATATCTTCTCTCCCTATCTTCATCTTTTCTAGCTGATTTCCAATCAATTGAAGACCGCAAACTACCCCAAATAAGCCTGCCCTGGGTGCTATTGATGGGATTTCTGACCAGCCTAAAGCTCTGTATCCCAGTCTGCAACAAATCAGCTAGCCCAAGATGGTCCTTCAGAACCTGTGAAGTGAACAAAACATGTGTCCCTGAGTCTGCACTTCTCTCTTACTTTGACCAATTAACCTTCTTGGCCCCAGTTAGAGTAGGAAATAGTTACAAAATATATTATGTCACCTTTTATTATAAAAAAGATTGGAATATCAGGTCCCAAGAAACAAAAAAAACATATTTAATAATTATTCAAACCAATTTTTCTTGAAGATTTAGTTTACATTACTCAAAAATGAAGTCTTAAAAGTGTAAGTTTGGCCACTGTGCAGAGTTCCTTAACATCTAAGAATAACAGGGCTTTTATCTGAAATTTCAGATAGACAATATCAAGCTTTTAAGAGAAGTATTTGTCTCAAACAAATATTTTTGTTTATATAGAATTCAAACATAACTGGTCAGATAAACTATCATCTATCATCTATCTATCTATCTATCTATCTATCTATCTATCTATCTATCTATCTATCTATCATCTGTCTGTCTGTCTGTCTGTCTGTCTATCTATCTCTCTATCTATCATCTATCATCTATCTATCTATTTATCTATCTTCATCATCATCATCTGTCACCTTCATCATTTATCATCCATCTGTGTAACACATTGGGTCCAGTTACTATTGCTCTTATTTACATGTGTTCAGTACTGACCACTGAGGATTGGAATCTCATCCTTGACAAATAAAATAATCAAATCAATAAGCAAAAACTCACTCTTTCAGTAGCCAATGACTGTCTGTAACTCTTCATCTAGAAGTGAAAGCTTGGTTAAACTTTTATTTGTCCATTTTGCCATGTCCAGCTGGTATAGTGTTTGCAGGTTTAAACAGTCAGTCATGTTGCTAAGAATTCAAAGGAACAATATCCCTGTCCATCCCAGGAGATACTACATCACAGAATTTATTATGTTTTTAAGCCTACTACAACTTTCCTAGCTCCTTTTCTACATTTGTCCCAAGCCGTAGATATAAGGGATAGTCCTGGCTATCCTATTTGGGGCTGGACAACTAACAGTCTTTTATTTCCTACATTTTGTCCAACTATTGACCCAATAACTTAGTCTGCTATAAAAAGAAGTCTTCTGGTGAGATAAGAAAGTGTCAGATATCCTTGAGTATAAGGATGAGTATTTAGAGGGTATTTGG